GTAGTCACACAATGAGGCAGTCATATTGTCTCAGTGAATCATTAATTTTTGACAGACACCTGTACAAAATACTTGGACTAAAGCCAGCTAAAATTTTCTGTTACTTTGCATGTTTTATGAATCTATTCACATCTAAATGCAGCACTTTTTTTTTGCAATGAGATATTTGTTTTTATACTAAAATATCTGAATTACTTTGAATAAAGCTGGAAATTATGTCCTTTAAAATAATTAAACAAATAAGGCACCAATGTTTTTGTAAGATATTTACATCTTTTAAGGACTTTTGGTAGACTGATTCCGCACTGTTGATTCTACCCCAAAACTTGTTTGTATTCAAAATTAATTATGACAATGCATATTTATATTGAATCAAACTATGATAAAGGGAATTATATTATATAACAAAGGGCAAGGTCACCAGAGTTCAACTATGTTTTTTCTAAGAAATGAGCATATGCATTGTCAAATGCTGTTGTGTATACTTAAAACTCGATAGAGGAGATAGAGCAGGAGAATATACATTAATACATGCAGTGTTCTCAGTTCATAAAGGTTGAATAATATAGTGCATTCCATATAAGATTGTTGATATATTACTCTGTATGAATGTAGTTGTCATTATGGTCAATGATTATAGACATTGTACTTGCCTTGCCTGTTGACATTCATCTATGAAGCCTTTCATACGGTGAAGTGTTTTTGTCAGTCATATACAGCAAATTCAATTTTTTTGTTGCTTCCTTCTCATATTATCTATGTGTTCTGATTTTGTATATTTTTCCCTCCAGACTGGTGACTTCACAGCTGACGGAGCACCACCGCCACCATCACCATCGACAACACCATCACCGCCTTCATCACCATCGGCAACACCATCACCGCCATCGTCACCATCAGCAACACCATCACCGCCAGCGTCACCATCGGCAACACCATCATCACCACCCCCGCCACCCCCATCTGAAGAACAACCCCCAGAGCCAAATGGTACATCAAATATGTCTTTATTCAGTGAAGTAAACCCCCCAACTACTTCAATGGCAACATCCACTCGTACAGATGTAGAAAAAATTGAAGAATATAGTCAGTGTGATAGTAGGTAAGTACATGCTGGGTAAAAAGTTTCGTTCCATGTGCCATGATGACCAACTCACCTCAACTATTGCATTTAGGGGTTTACCATTGGAAACTCAGGGTGGTAGATTTAAACAGAAAACATTTCTAAAAGAATTGCAGAAATAAAAAGTATCTTCTAAAAAAAAAAAACAGACAGGGGAAAGCAAATCAAAAAATTATCATCCTGAAAACAAAATCAAACTGAAAAGTGAATGAAAGAAAAACAAAAATTTGCACAGTTTTTTCACTATCTCCCCTCATGTTATAATATCATAGAGAATCACATGTTCATCTCTTCTGTATTTAGTTACCAGTTTGAATTTCATAAGCATCTGCCAATTGTTATGTAATTCAACTAAAATATCACAAATCTTGCTTTACGGTAGTGAAATCTGAGGATTTTTTTTTATGTCATGGCAGCTGTTTTGGATCAGAATTTAGTAAAAGTTAAATTTTTTTGACTCGTAATTCATTCATAAATAAACTGGTCGTAAAGAATTCCTGTTTGAATATAATGTTATTGTGTTATCTATTGTTGATGTGTTTTCTTCTTTTCAGTGGTAGTGTGAGCGAAGGAGCCACTGCATCAGACGATGTGACTAGTTCTTCTATTGGTGGTGTAGAGGCTGTGAGTAGTCGGTTTAGTAAATCACCAGTTGAAAGAGAATCTATATTTGCAGACAGAAAAAAAACTCTTCTTTATCAAGCTAGGAGGTAAGTTAAAGCAAATGTAATCAAATTACCAGGTCATTGATATCCAAAAGTCTGACAAAAATGTCTTCTACCGTAAACTTAACCAGCTTTGTTTTTGCCTGAATATGTCCAGTAGTACCCTTTCATACAAAGTCCAAGTTCAGGGACTATTAATTGAAGTTCAGTGTGTCCGTAGGTGCTTGTTATTTTGGTTTTTAAATAACTCGTTGGCGGCCATTTTTTTTTTTCATTCTGTCCTTACATGTTACTTAAAGTTACAGTATCAAATCTTCACTTTATAGCTTTATCTCAGTGACTTTGTATGATTTCTAAAATACCAAAGGCACTATAATTATTTGCAAAAACTAGTTTTGCTTGTTTTCACAAAATTTAAAAATCTGTTATTTTACTTATTTTGCTGACATTCTGACATGAAGCAGGTTTTGACAATTTTGTGATAGTTACAAAAGTGGTGAGAGGTTATAAACATTGACCTTGAACTTTGACCACTTCTGCCTACATTTGTCAATATGTCACAAAATCAGTGATACAGATTGAAATAACACGATGTGGACTCTGTTGTATAATTAAGTGTGAATCTTGACTTTTTAAAAATTTTATGACATTTTTCATTTGTTGTGTAGTGTAAATGCCTCGTAATTACTACTTAGTTCCTGTATTCTCAAAGACGAAACTACGTCACAATCGCTAAAACGTTGCCAGGACCAATCACAAACAAGAACAGACAATGGTTTTATTGATTAACACCTCTGTTTTCCCCCTCATTATAAACCAACTTTCCCCCACACTAGCAAAGAAAAAATGTTGCCTTCTACTGTCTTCCTGTTCTGGTGCGTCTTCGAGAAAAGATTGGCTCTCGCTGTAACAACTATGATGACCTGCTGCTGATAAACAAGAATGCAGTGTTATAATGTGTTCAAACAAGTCATCGATGATTACTTTTAATATCAGATGAAAATTTTAAATCTTAAAACATTTTTTTTCAGGAGATTTATTGCCAAAGAAGAAAGAGATGTGGCCAGCAAAGACGCTGGTGAAAAAAAAAATCATAATCATCATCCGTTTAAACAAGAAGTCGATCACACTGAGCCAACAAACACCTCAAATGAAGATGTGAAACCAAACCTGAATGAAGGCAGTTCTAGCAGAGACAGAAAACGTGCCTTAGCGTTGGAAGCGGCCCAGCGTCGACTGAACAGCCAAAATGTTACTCACCCTCATGATGAATAATATTAACAAACTATGAATAATTGTGTTGTGACAGTACACAAATGTGTACAGTTATAAATTAAAAAAAATATGTGAGAATATTTCTATTTTTCTTCCAAGATGATTGCTTGAAGCACAATCAAGGAAAACTAATCTTATCTATTCATATCAACGCAGCACGTGTACTTGAATCTAGTTTTTATGACAGACGAATGACACCAGTAGCATATTTCTCTATTATGATAGAGAAAGTCTGTATATTGAAACTGACTGCAACTGACATTGTTTTATTGTATTTTCTGTTTTAAATGTAAAGCTTGCATTGCTGTAGTTAATGTAACAAGCCTGCTTCAATTAAATTATGTTAAATCGCCTTCAAAACGAAAAATTTGTGCCATCTACTGCAAGAAGGCAAAAGGACGGTAGCCATTATGATTGTGTGTATTTAAAGTGGGTCCTATACTACACCTGGCTACATATACACATTTAAGTCAATGTGTTATATATTTACACAAAATTTAATCGCATTTGAATGTACACGGCCGTGACAATCTCCACCTTTTAACGACCTCATGTTGTACATCAAGAAATTATTAAACATATTACATGTTGCATGTTTACTTTTTATGATACTAGTATAGTATCTGTGTGTGTGTCAACACGGACTATATATGGCGCCCCCTATAGGCCACTTTGTAGTTTTTTGAGTGATTTTAACCCTTTCACAAAATCATACCACGTAATTGGTTTGTTTGTTTTTCGAACTTTTGTTTCATGAAATATTATTAAGACCTGTCAGGGTTATTAGGGGATTTAGTTCATTACTCCAAAATCAAAAAAGAAATGTAGAAATATTTGTACCAAAATGTTTAGTTATGGTCTTGAAAGAAACTTAAGCAATAACCATTCGCTGAAGGTGGGTATACCATTGAGTTATTGCATTGAGTTATATATGGGTGAATTGTGCAATTTTGACCGAGTTATTGCTATTATATTATATCAACATTATTTTCCAGTAGTTTTTAACAAAGGAAACAAAAATAAAAAGGGGTCAGTACACTTGCTTCCCAAAGTACACTTGCTTCCCAAAGTCGCAAGATTGACGCTTGACAGCTAGCCTGTTTTTCTCTGTCAGACTTAAAACAATTTTTAGAATAATACTTCTCTCACAAGTTACAATTTTATACAATTTTGAAAATTATACTTTCTTAACTCTGAAAGTCAAAGTCACAAAATAATACCAACATTTTATTTTTTAAAAATTTTGATCAAGATCTGAATTTAATAGAAAATTGTATCTACTGGTACATAGAATTGATCCAAAAAAAATAAAAAAATTCATAAAAATGATGCACCAAATCTATGGCACATAAAGGGTTAGTACAAGATCGCTTTCTTCCATGAATCCATTTCACACAGTATCACATGTTTTGCTTTGTAAACAGCTGTGATCAGAGACAATTTCAGAAATTACCGGTGTGTACAAAATTGCGACAAAAATTAGCTGAGGTATAGCATGACATTATGTCTGGCCAGAGTTAGATCGTTTTCCACAGTTAATATCAAACAAGTTGTAAATATTTGTCTTTATTAGTTTTAAAAATGTTTGTTTTTCTTCCTAAAAAAGTCGTATCCATATATATACATGAACTGTGAAGTACCCCGATACATTTGTTCACCTCTTCAGCAGGCTATAGAAAGGCATTTTGGTATAGCAGTTAATTTGTTTTGATAGTTGATTACCAGCTGCTTGGTATGGGGCTTAACTTGCAGACTTCCAAGTTCATAAAAGATTCCTATTTTGACAGCAACAAGGTGGGATAAAAAGCACTCAAAAATATTACATTAAAAGAACTTGATCAAACATTGCGAGTATTTTTCCTATTTTTATAGTCTCGCATGACTGTTATCTTGACTAGTACTTTCAAACCCTCATGAGTATGTCAAATTATATTGTAGAATACTTTATTTTTGCTTGGAATTTATTTTCGCTGAAGGGATGATTCCGTAAAAATAAAATACAGCGAATATACATTTTTTCCTATATTTTACATTTTTTATAATCTCATCAAAAATCAGTGAAAATAAATTCCAAGCAAAACGCCCCAAAAGCCTTTTCAGCGAAAATAAAGTATTCCACAGTATTATGAATTGAAATATGTATGGTTTACTGCATTCTGTATTAAATGATTAAGTTTGTAACATGGAGTCGGACATTGACATGAAATTAATTCTCCACAAGTCATACAATACCTATCTTGTTTTTATCTAATGCTTATGATATATATAACAATACATTCTTACAAGTTTTTTCACTATTGTAAAAGTGGGTTCTTGAGAATTTTTTATTGTCAATGGTTTCTTCAAATTCAATTATTGCATTTGTTAAAAAACTTGTAGCCATGCATTTTGTGTAGAAACAAATTACAGTTCTTTCTGTTACATGATATTAATTTCTTTTCCAAAAAAGTGTGTATAATATTGTTTAGCAAAAAACCTTTGCTTCAATAGGCAACGTAATTTAATAAAAAATATAATTATGATTGTAATTTCCTGGGATCAGTCACCTATGATGTATACTGCGTTTATATTTACTTTCAAGATTTGTTTGGTGACCAACTAGGCAGTGATTGGGGGGGGGGCAAGATTGGCAATGTATATTTTAGAGGGTTTATATGATGACACTTTTACAATTTGTCATTGGTACAATATATACGTTTTAAGTAGAAAACTGGAGACTAGTCAATTGTTGTCTAAACACATTTCCTCTATTTAGACGTGCATGTTGACGAACAGTTACATGTATTGTTTTCTGCGTCATTAAAAATGACTTATTTTGACAGGCCTGTTGTTTTTGTAAGCACATGTGCAACTAATAGAGCGTGTGCATGTGCAGTAATACTATATTTGCGCTGTCAGAAGCGTTTCTTTTATATAGGCACACAAAAGCCAAATAAACTTATTTTGATTTTTGGTTATAATCTGAAATTCATAAAGGTTTACTTGCGTTCAGATAGGTATGTAAAGATTGATGGTGTGAATGACAGGTGACGAGGGGTTGACACTAGAGGGCGATGTATGGTGTGGATGGAAGAATCAAATTTCTTTTTACCTGATGTACAAATATGAAAACAAATCATTTCAGCATTTAAAAAAAGAAGCACGACGTACAAAGATAGGCTCTACCCTCGAGTGTCTGTACTAGAAGTTCAATTTTCAATGCTTTTTTCAGTGTATTCCAATATTGCATTGATTGCACGTTTGAATTTGCCAATTCTATCAAATAGTATTTCTAATGTGCATGAATTCATACCATCAGATATGTGACATAATAGTCCTAAGACCACAAAGCAAATATGAATAATCTAAGAGTGAAACTAAAGTTCTGTAAATAGATTAATCAAAAATATCTTTCATTTGGGATGCATATGATCCTTGCACCAACTCAGTTGTTGATGCTAACTTTTTAGCAAGCACTTGTGCTTCTAATATAGCAAATACCATCTTATTTGGGTCCTGTAGGTACAAGTGCAAGATTTAATGGCGTTATTTCAATTTATTTTATTTGTGCAACATTCTGTATTATAAAATTTCAAATACATTTCTGAATTGAGATATATTTAAAAACAAGTGTGTTGAGTTTTTCTTTCTTTTCTGTTTATCTGCATCAGTTAACTTTAATAGTCCATTTTCATCTCCTGAAAAATATAAACAAGATTTCAAAATATTTTTGAGATTATTAGTCAATATGGTCAGTTAGACATTCACACAACATTGACCTCACACTTTGTGGACTACTGAGGCATCGCGTTTTGTTTCGATATTATTTTTTCATGATCAACTGGATATTCACATAACATTGGTCATGGCGAGTAAAATGCAATTTGCATATAGTTCACATGCTTTAACAGTTTTCTCGGCAATACACAAACAGATTTCAACAAAAATGGGTATGAACCTCCCTCATGGTGGGCAAATGTGGCATAGTGTTTTGGTTCACAATTACATTAAATTTTCTATAATATTTTCTACAAAATAAAAACCATGGCTTTTATTAAGTTCATGCTGTAGATGATTAAAACAGAATGATACATACTCGCTGTTATCACCCTTCAACCAATAAAGTTCATAACCACCAGATGAAGTATCACACTGGCAAAAATAAAATCACTGAAGGCACGTTCTGGTGAGATGTTATAAAACTGCGACTTGTTGGCTGGATTCACTTGTACTCTCAAACATACTGCAAGAAAAGATAATTACACTGTAAAATGAAAAGTTGTATTCACTTCGGAGTTAATTAAGCAGTCATTTGCAATATGAGTTTGCGTACCACAATACAAAACTAGCCCCTTAGGTGACCTTAGTTCTTTGGTATCCGAAGAATAATGCAGACATTCTCTGTAACAAAGGATTTTTTATGTCAAAAGCTGCACTCCTCAAGCATAGAGATATAATCATGCACAACTCATTACACATCTTTAACATCAACAACAAACCACCAACTTTTATTTGCAGTGGATTTCCTAATTTTAATTAATACAATAAATGCATGGTAAAATGATGTCAATTTGTACTACAATATAGTGGCCAGTGATCAACATTCAAGATCACCACATCTTTCCAAGGTAAATTAAGTGTGAATCAGGTGTAACCATGACCTGCTAAAAAAATTATTTTTCCTGCCTGTACAGTACTCCCAAAATCACAAATGGCATTTACATGCAAAATCTCCCTTAATTTATACCACATTTATTGGTATTCCGATACTTAAATAACTATATATTCAACTTTCAACGAAATGGTTTTCTACAAAATGTTGTGCATCGAACAAAGTAAATCATTATTCATACAGGTGGTGTACAGAATCAAAGAAACTCGAACTAACGATAAAATACACTATTGACGCCTTCTCTACAAAGAATTTTAGCTGGTTATTTACACACCCTGCTAGGCACTTTATATTTCCGAGGTTGATCCAGTTGTTTGACGCAATGATTTATGTCCCTGTGTGAATATATACTAATATGTACACTACAAGAAAGTCTCAAACTGACTCTGGAATATTTTAATACACAACCTTTTGACTCATTTGAGTTCCTCAAGGCCACCACCTCTAACCTGAACCCCCCCCCCCCCCCAGCCTCCCAATGTAATTGTACATGTCACTACAAATAACTATACAAAGAGGTATGGGCAACTTTTACCATTGCTTGAAATGCAACTTTATATAGTATGAAATAATCCGTGGTCAATACTGGTGGTATTCGCCCTAACAATTTCATTTGGACGTCTTCTTTTTAATTTTGTTGTTGTACGTCGAACATAGAACTACGGGATCTATCACCGTTTAAAAACAGAAATCTGGCATACGTAAATTAAATCGCTTTTGCTTTCGATTACGATGATGTGACGTACCTTTATTGTGAATTGATCGCTGGATGAATAACATACAAACTTTTGTTTGCAATTTGTGTTTATAAATAAGCAATAATTTGTGATATTTTCAAACAATTAACGCGGAAAATAAGCAAATTACGAGAAAATGGCAGCCATTGACATCCCGCACTCCCTAGCGCAGAATAAATGTAATCTCGTTTGTCGGTCATGTGATACAGTGGTGGAAGAATAAAACTCACTCTTCCCATAACCGGTTATTCTCATTGCTCCAAGAAAGCAATCACATACAGTATTTATAATTGTATGATTTTTGTTTAATAATAGAAACTAGTTGCATAAATGCAATTTATCTACTGATTTCGGTCACGTGGTACAAAATTATAGGTCTCACGTAATTTGCTATGAACTCTGGAATATAAAATGGCGTCTTTCGCCTTGTTATTTTTTTGCGACTCTGAGTACGGTAAATAAAGTCAATTTTTTATGACCACCTTCATCATTTCACAGCGCAAATAGGTTCTGGTCATTGTTTGGAAGTAAATAAACATAGTGAGTACTTTCGAAGGTCTTAAAATGTGATTTTCGCGACGACCAAATTTGGCAAGTGGATTTTAACCGGTATTCAGTCGCACAAGGCTCCATAGCCCTATGGGCCGGCCAGAGTCAGTCACGTAAATACTGCGGTCGGCAACATAGGGCTATAATTCCACAGCTATACTGGTGGCAGTCATGTCCAACTCTGTAAGCTGGACATTTTTTTTCTATTAATTCTGAACTAAGTAATAAATCTGCATTGTATCATAACCGGTAAAAAAATGTTCGTTTTATCATTAGATTTATTCTTTAAAACAAAAACACTATAGAGTCGCAAACGGTACACGCCGCGATCCAGCTGTTCTGAACAGGTGGGCACATTTTGATGGGGTTTACTTCCGCATTCGATCTTCAAACACAAACATTGAGTTCTTCACTATAATACCACACAACTTATGGTGATGCATACGACGACGAAACAACCGCTAAATCATTCGATAATGAACACCCGAACTATGAATACATACCTGCTAAAACAAATGAGCCCACACAAGAAATGAAGCCTGATAAGAACGAGTTGAATGGAAAGGTGCCGACGAGAGCACAATAGAAGAACTGAAATACGCCAGTTAACACGATGTACGAAAGATAGGCATCCACTATCTTCAACCTCTGTGGTGTGTTTTTCTGATATTCATCGTGGAATTTTGCTAAAACGGTGAAAATGTTCGCCGACATCGTGATATTTTTTTCCGTTTTCCAACACACTAGTGATGTGGCCAAAATGGTCGCCCAGAGAGGAAGTTGAAATGGATTATGGGAGTTCATTAAAGCAGTGCGCCATCAAGCAACTAACCAAGACATATGTACGGCAACAACCGAGGTGGCTCACAACATGGCATTTTATAAAACCATTTTTACAATTCATTTTTATTTTATAATTCCTTTTTAATAATCATTTTCGTTTCTGAAATCGATTTTTAACACTCCCACTTTCGTTTCTGATATCTGTTTTCATTTTAAAAAAACAATTGTTTAAATGCATTTACTTTTTTAAAATTCGTTTTCATTTTTAAAATCCATTTCCTTTTTTTAATCAATTTTCATTTCCAAATCATTTTTTTAAATCTGTTTTCGTTTTTACTAATCCGTTCTGATTTTTAAAATCCATTTTCACGTTTTTGTTGACATTTGAAGTATAGGTATATACGTATTTTTCACGTTGAAGCAAATTTTCCATCAGAATTTACATAAAAATCGCTGTTGTTTCCAGCCTATCGCATTATCGTCAACTGTTTTTAATTGTTTTACTATGATTCTCATTTCGATTCGATATTCGATTTGTGTTTTGTATAACATTTCAACTTGACCTGATACAAGTAGTTTTCCACTAGTGATGTTCGAAGTTTCCATGGTAAGACTTCTTTACGTAAGTTATTCTTCAGGCTATAACTTATATAGCCGTGGTTCCGCGGTGATTTTGGTCCATAAAGGGTTCTTTCAACAAAGGTCGATAGAACTGTTTGAATTATAAATATTCATAAAGATGGAGTGAATGCCGTTGTTGCGCTGAGAGTACACTAACCATGAAAATGCTTCTGACCGATATGATGTCACGTTACAATTAAATAATGTTCAGAGTCACATTTATTTGTTCAATGACTAATCAAATTGTAATGACTCAATGATAACTGGTTTCCGGATGACTTGATGCTTAATTGCTTGAAATTGAACCGTTTAAACGAGTTACCATTTTCTCCAAACCAGTATCACGTGTAAGTAAATGAACTTTGAGTCTCTAGTGGCGCATATCAACGTTTTACCCTTCTGTGATCATATCTGCAAATCAAGTACTAGTATGCACTGAACGACTGTTTACACTACATGGCAGCTGACTTACCCTGATGACATGGGAGGAGGTATAGCCAAAGACAACGAAGGACAGTCAGTGTTACGAGCTGTCGATTGGTATCCCAGTGGTGAGTAACTCTGTGCCGAGTCATGTGACGACGATTCTATTGCCGTTGATATACCAGTCATAGCGGACTGCTGTCCAAATGAAGGCATTGGTTGCCCGGGTAACTGTTCTAATGATGGCATTGGTTGCCAGGGTTTAACGACATAAATCACCGTTATTTGTACTTCCGTTTTCGGTTCAGCATCTTCAGTGTCATCATGTGGTACTGTTGTTGTTGTTGTTGTTGTTGTTGTTGTTGTTGTTGTTGTTGTTGTTAACGAGCCTTTTTCACACACGCATTTATTTATTAAATATACATATACACACACAATGTCCACGCATACCATGATACTAAGAAAGGTAATGAAAATTCCTCTTACTGGAATGGCATCCCACAAAATGATGAGTTGGGGAGTGAAATAAACACTCACACCCACATTTGTTGAAATTAATATAATTAGTATACATCGTTTCGAAAAATCGCATCTACAACAATGACACATTCTAACCAAATAATCATCTCCTATCCATCTAGGCTTTTCAGTCTCCATCACACGTGTAACTATGAAATCTACAAAGGAAACAGAAAAATATAGCAGCTATTTACTACAATATATTAATATAATAATTGGCAATAAAGGTGTGTACATCCAAACAATAAAATGACATCATAGAAAAGGGGCTGACCCAAAGGTGTCTGGGAAAACATTATATTGAACCACATATATATTCACATATGCACACATATCAATATTTGATATTGATATTTGTAATAGGGACAATATTTTTCTGTCAAACAAAGGTCAAAGGTGACAATACCATGGAAAAAAAATACCAAAGGTCATATTATTTGTATTAGTCGGGTAGAATCTATCATTATACAATTAATCGAAAGCTATTTTTAAACTTCATATGTTCATTTTGACATAGTTCATGCATAATTTGCATAAAAATGAGGTGCTTTTCTTAAAATATTAATAATAACGTCATTATGAACTGAATTATAAAAACAACTTATCTCAAAGATTGTCAAACAAATGTCAAGTTTTTCAATATCCTAATTACTATTATTTGAATGTGCATTTGCATATCATGAAATTTAAATTACCAATGTCGTTATTCAGCTCGCGTACGAGTTTTGTGTGAGCAAACAATGTACTCAAAAAAAGGAATATACTTCATCTTTATAAATACTTATAAATTTCACAATTCAAACTAAAACGAGAGGTTTATAATATAAACAGTGGCCTGTGTTATCGGGTTGTTAAATCAACAACATTAGAACTATTCTGTCTCTCCAACAAACATAACTTTACCAAAACGTATTTTTCTAGATCTTTTCTGATATGCACACTTTTTATGTGTTCCAATAATACAGTGATATACACGTCAAAAGGAAATATGAATAGATTATGAACAGATTGGGGCGAAAGTCAAAAATGTGGAGCATGGAATTTTATTTATTCGTCAGCTCGTACGAAAGTGATAACATGGGAGACATGATTCCCAAAGTGAGGGTTCAAAAGGTATACACTGGTCGTCAAACAGCTAGGCGCAACTAACAGATCTTTAACATCCGTTGTATAAGACTTAGTGTACGGGGTATGAAAACATTCAGAGAGCTAGTGTGAAGAAGAATGGCCGAGTAAAAAATACGATTTGTTTAATCCAGTAGTATCCTCGGACATGTTGGTTTACTGTGCATAGCATTATATTTGCATAGGGAAATAATTCACAGGAATGTGTAATGACCAACTGATGCAAACTGGTGGCCGCTTTCTCAGTGGTACTCGCATAGTTGAAGAATACGGGTAGCAGTCGCTACTTTTTGAGGGATCAGTTTTCAACTAGCTGCAGAGTCAATTCTCGGCTAATTAGTTATATTATAACTTTAAATTGTGTCAAAGAGGCTCTGAGTTACTTGCATGTTACCCTAACAATTTAATAATTCGAATGTGAGGTCTTCAAATGAAAAAATACATTTATCATAGTCAAAATAACATACACTGATCTCATACCAGGTCGTGAACCCTGGATTTACAGTGAATAAATTTAGTACTGCTGTAGACACTGTGTACCCTAAATTTGAAATACAATCTTCAAATTGATATCAGCTAATCAAAGTTATAATAGACATTGGATATCTCGGAATATATGCACAAAACGTACCTGAATGGTAACGTCACAATTGGCAGATTAATACAAATTAGACATGCGGGGAAAATAGAAGACTCGAAACAGACGTTTCTCGAAAGTAGCAACAATACTTTAGCTGACGGTCAACGATGATGACAACGAGAAAGAAGCGTCTATGATTTTATGCAAACCCAAGGCAACACAGTTGATTGTTTCCCCGTCACCAAGACACACAGTTATTCAATAATCGATCGGGAAAGGACGACATCGCTTTTATAACTCGACATTGGACGGAATGAGACCGTGACGACAACACAACATCTCCTATTACACGTCTAGGTAATTTAACGACTGTTACCATGACTACTAAATATAGTTATGCCTAAACTTGTAAACAGTGCAATGATCTTCAACCAAACGTTCAAAATGTCGTTTACGGGGTCATTTGGTGCCGTGCGAGTGATTATTACTACCTTATACTAAAATATGTTTGGATATTTAGAGTAGTAAATAATTCCTACTTCCGGTCCGGTTAGACTTGAAATACACCACGAATATTCACTTTTGAGATATAATTTTTGGTATGTGTTGGTTCTTGGATATTTCAGCTTCGCCGTCCTGTACTTCGTTTAGTAATTCAATAGTTTTGCGATATTAACATGGGACGACCGCTTAGGTATGTGCTCTGCAACTTGCTGCACATGAACCTAAAAGCGTTCGGTAATCAAACAAAAATGACGTTGTACTAAAGTACAAAAATTACGTTCAAGGTTTTCACTTTTTCATCGAATAAAAGCGATTTGCTCCCTTGCTTACTGTGAAACCCTCAAATCGACTGATTTCCATTCTCCCCAAAAGTCAACGCTAAGACTCAAAACAGTCGTTTATGCTTCGCATGTTTATTTGTCTTCAATTACGTTTCGGTGGCTGTCACTGTCGTCTTCTGAGTCTTGCCGTTTTATGGATTGTGACATGTATTAATGTAACTAGTAATATCACCCCCGTTGTTAAAACAAATCACTGTTAGCTTAATAAAGCGTATTAATTCTGTACTACACATTGGTGTGATTTCTACTTGTTATTTATATTGCATGTACGGCTTGCCAGACAATTCTGATATATGTACCCATCACAGTATTACACACAATATGGCCAAACGCCAAAAGATAGCAATATTTATTAATGAGTATAATATAGACGATGGCATTATCAATCTCCTACTGGAACGTTCAGGGCTTGAGTAATAAAGTAGGTGACAATAATATTATTAACAAAATTACTGAACATGACATTATTGTGCTTGGGGAAAACCTGGCTGGATAACAGTACAAAAGATAAAGTTCAAATTCCAGGATACTATACACAATCAAACATAAGACAATCTCAGTTGGGAATCTCAGTTGTAATCAAACAAGAACTAAAATAAAAAAAGAATAAAAATCATAAACATGATTGAAGAAGATATAATATAGTTTAAACTAGTGAAAAGATTCTCCAATACCACAACTGATATCTATATCTGTTTTCTTTATAATCCTCCTATTATTAATAACATATGGTAAACAAAATTTATTTCTTTGATAATCTTGAAAAAAATGATTACACATTCTAAATTGGGTGATGGTATAATTCAAGGACACTTTTAACAGTATAACTGGAATTTTGACAGATTACATAGAAAATGCCAGATTCTTACAACATA